AATAAGGGATGAGTAGCACAATGCAGCGCGTGGGGCGAATGAGTGCCACATAAGCTACGGTTGGAGCCTAAAAAGTAGCGATTAAGGCAGCCTTACTTGAGAATCAATTTTTCTTATTAGGTAACTAAGAACGAAAAGCAGAATTTTATTTAGAAACTAATAGAGTATATAATATCCAAATTTATATTTCTCCCGTCGCATAAATACTTTTTTATTGTGAATTGTGATGCTTGGCTAAAGTTTTTTTCAAAAGATATATTCCTTATATGGAAGTAAAATGAAACCAAAATACCAAAATAAGAGTAAACATACTTTAATTCTTTAAATATAATTGTAATAGCAGTATTGTATAAAAGCATGATGGTACGATAAATATATATTGATGAGTGATGTAGATCCAAAGTGGGAAAAAATGTTTAAAAGAATAATTTAAGTTTAATAAAGTGGTACTAAAGTGATTAAAGTATTGATAATAACTTATTTATTATCCTTAGGGTTAAGGGACTTAAGGCCCTATTTAACTTTTGTCTGAAAAAAATTAAAGTGGAGTAATAAGCATTGAAAATATCCAAAAATAGGAGTTCTGTATTTTTATTTTCAAAATAGAAATTAATATGCATTACATTACCAATCATGGGAGCGAGTGGCATGTGGTGGAGAGTTGGCGCGGGGTAGAGGGGGAAGGGATAAAAGCAGATGGCACGGGTTGACGAGTGGCGGAAGAATGTGTATTGGGGGAGGGGCAAGGGACTGGAGTGGGAGCGGTGGTGGACAAGTTGGGTGGCGTAAAGTCCCACTTGTAAAATAACAGGCTCGGGTTTTGATTTTTGGAGTATGCGCCGGTCCGGCCCGAAGTAAATGAGTACCCACAAACTTCTGGGTCGAGTTCGAGTTTTATGTTCAAACTCACGGGCCGGGCCGACCCAAACCAATAGTACTAGGAATAATAATAATAATAATAATCATAATAATAATAATAATGACAATAATAATAATACTTATTATTGCTATCTATTATATAAACACACATGCATACTTCTAAGAAAAAAAGAGAGCAATATATTTTTTTAATCAAATGAATATATTTTATCATTGCTCATCTCAAATTAATAATTATGATGGATCCCTTATATTTTCTTACTCCGTATTAGACTATTGTCTACGCATTGAAATAGTAAAAGAATAAGAATATAAGAGTAAGTAAATAGAAAAAATGGAATCGTACACAAAAACAATGCTCAAACCCATTTCCTCATATCTAAACAGTTTGTCTTAGGATCAGAATATTCTCAAGGATTACCAAAATATCTTTGATAACTCTAATATGATATGCTTTCTCTCTCAAGTTACAAGATGATCTCTCAAGGGCATCGTCTCATTTCTTTTATATGAAGTCTCCAGAACCACCATCTCATCAATATATCTCTTGTGGTTGAGGGAAGATTTGGGAGATCTCTATCTTCCTTCCAGAAGGCTTCCCCCGCTCCAAGTTAGGCTTAAGGACACATCGGTTAATGGATAAATATTTTACATCACCTTTGTCTCAAACAATGACACGAGAACATTTTTCCGTCTCTCAAAGGAGGCGCTACCCTAATCTTATTGCGATGGGATAATGTTTGTCTTGACCACATGAGTAGAAGTATCAATATAATTAGTGTCATACTCTTGATGGTTGCCCAAGACAACAAGAAGAGCTCTATCAAGCTCCTTAGTATCATTAGAGCCGATTTTGGTATGATACACTCACTGACAATTCAAGGCCTTCTTATCAAGCGGAAGGTTTGTACTCTCCCACGTCAAATTATTCTTCAAGGCTATGATTTCATGCTACATAGTCATGCCAAGCCCTAATTGGCATGTTGCATAGCCTCTTTAAAATTACTTTTTTCTATTTTGGAACACTTTTTTGCATAGCCTCTTATTCTTCAAGCATCTCCCATCCGTCCTTGGAATACCTTTTTCTATTTTTCTTTAATTATACATATCATTTTTTATTATTAAATTCAATGCACTCTAATTCATTTTTTTCCTCTAATAGGCCGGGGTTACACGATATCTCTTGTAACTTGTAAGTGATACACCATTTTAAAGAAAGTAAATTTTCCTCATTAGGTATACTTTAAAATGTTATACTCAGGTAAAAGGATAAAACTTTGAGAAAGGTAATATTAGAAAAATATCACATAGAAGTAAAAGTGTAAAACATAGAGAAATTTTTAAAATAAGAGTATTTTAAATGTTTTGCCCATGCTTTACTCTTTTTCTCTAATATTAGTCTTATTTCCTCCTTCCTGAAATTAATTACAATTTATTTTTTCTCACTTCTCGATAATTTTTGCGTGCTTATTCGTGTGTTTTTATTCATTATTTGATAAAATAAAATATTTTTTTTGAATTGAGTTGTTTGGATACCAATTTAATAGCATTCCGGTTTGCTAATCCGTTTATTCGGTTGGGGTATTACATTAATATTTTTTTTCAAGTATTGTACTTTTTATGTTTTTACTTTGGATTGGTATTTTCTTTTATTTAGTATTGTAGTTTCGTTTAAATCAATGAAATGTTATCATATGATTATCGTGTTAATTAGACATTTTCATATTTTATTTTTAAATATATTTTAAAATTAATAATTAATAAAATCAATTACTAATAATATTAAATTTTAAAAAATGATTTTCAAATTAATTTTTATTCATAGTTTAGGTTAATTATTTAAAAATAATTGTAGTAAGTCGGAGAATTGACTTATGTACACCACCAGTTGCAATATGAAAACTATAGAATTAGTGAATCTGGTGTGACATTAATATAGATGAAAAAGATAATACAATAGAAAAAGTATGGATGGAGGTATGAACACCCTCTACGAGAATACACACTAATTGTTAGTAGAGCCCGGTTCCGTGGCCACTGGACTTGAGCCCGGTTCTATGGCCACTGGATTCCAGTGGCCACGGAAGCCACTGCCCCTCTACGAACCTCCGTTCATAAAATTGATGATTCCTACCCCCCTAACCCCCCGGTAAACCCCCCGCCAAGTCCCGACCCAAACTAATCACCCCACCTACGTGAATTGCACCTCGTAAGTATAATTGACTTTAAAGTAAAAAATTTTGACTTTATACTTTCGAGTTGCAATTGACGTAGGTGGGGTGATTAGTTTGGGTCGGGACTTGGCGGGGTGTTAGAGTACATCCCACATCGGAAAAATCCAAGAGAAAATAATCGGTATATAAGCTCTAGAGTTGAACTAACTAATCGATTGGATTCAATCTTTTAATGTGGTTCAGCTCAAGTGTCTTATTACCCAATCTAGTTGTCCATACTCCATCCTAAATTTATCATGGTATCAGAGCCAGTTTTAGTCCACCTCGTTTGTCAAGGTGTCCGTCTAGACGTTCATTCCTAGCGGCCCGTTAGTCTTTAGCCCAGTTGTCCGTATGGAGTTTGTACCCAACGGCCTGTGACCTGTTTGACCCGATTGCACGTCTGGAAGTCCATACACAGCGGCTCGCGGTCCTTTAGGTGTTGGCGCTCAAAAAAAAAGTCAAGGAAATGGGAGTTCATTTGCAAGTGGTCAACCGGTTAGATTCAAAATGGCCCGGTTGTCCACTTGAGGGGGAGTGTTAGAGTACATCCCACATCGGAAAAATCCAAGAGAAAATAATCGGTATATAAGCTCTAGAGTTGAACTAACTAATCGATTGAATTCAATCTTTTAATGTGGTTCAGCTCAAGTGTCTTATTACCCAATCTAGTTGTCCATACTCCATCCTAAATTTATCACGGGGGGGTCACCGTGGGGGTTAGAGAGGGTAGGAATTATCAATTTTGTGAACGGAGCTTCGTAGGGGGGCAGTGGCTTCCGTGGCCACTGGAATCCAGTGGTCATAGAACCGGGCTCTAGTTAGCACTCCGTATATCGAAACTGGTAAAGACAATGGGTCCTTTTTTTACAAAACATAAATCCAAACAATATATTATCCTTTTCTATCCTCTCTTTTGTACTCTTTTTTTTAATGAGAACTCATACTCTTCCCTCTTAAATTATTTGCAATATTTCCAAAGATATACGGAGTACTACGTACAAAATATTACAGTATTCCTTTTAAAATTATTTTATTTACAAATTATTTTATTACAAAATATTATTTCTTTTAAAATTATTTTTAAAAATAAAAAGTATATCAAAAGTTTTACAAAATAAAAATATTTTATTTTATTAAATGATCCACCAAAAATTAAAATAAAAAAACAAACAAAAATAATTCAGAAGCCAAAATAATAACTGTAGTATTTTTTTTGGTTGTATGTTTAGATGGGAATGGCGGGCGTGACACTATCAATGAAGAAGAAAGATGAGAAAAATGAGAGATATTTCCTTGAGAGTAAATTACATAATTAGTCCTTTATAACAGGGGGTTTCCATATTTAGTCCTCTATTATCAAATATTACCCCCGTAGTCCTTTTTTTAAGGGTATCTTTCCACAAATGGTCCTTTTTTTGATCTTCTGCCGTGTTGGTGTTAATTTAAAGGCTAAAAGTATAATTTGACGTCAACATTATGTCTAATGATGTGTTCTGATATTGGTTAAGCGGATAACACAAAAATAATGACTATGATTGTGGGCTAAGATTCTGACGAAAGATCACATTTGTAGACTATAGTTGTCGTAAAAAGCGACTGTAATTCACAAACGATGCAAACAAAACAGCCTTTGGAATTGTTATGACAAAAAAGATATATTATCATTGTGAAATTATACTTTTAGCCCTCGAATTAACACCAACATGATAGAAGATCAAAAAAGGACTATTTGTGGAAAGAGACCAATTATAGAATTTACTCTTTCCTTGAGATAAGATAAACAGAGACAAGAGAATTGTTTTCTCTCAAGAAGATTAACATATAATATATACTCCGTACATACATAATATTAGGAAATAATCAGAACTCAAAACAGATCCATTTCCAGAAAAGCACCATAAACTCGATCATGAAGAGCTTGTGGAGAAGATGAAAATATATATATATACATAAAGATTTTGAAAGAAGCAAAAAGGGTCACCACTTCACTTTTGCCATGTCATCCACTTCCATACTCTGTACCTTTTCCGGCCTCTCTTCCTTCCTTTCTCCGATTCCTCCCCGCCGTTCGCCGTCACTCTGCAAGAACCCAACCGCATTATTCCTCTGCCAGACCAAGACAGGTGGCGGTCGGAGGAAATGCGGGGCTTCGTGTCTACCCAGGTTGCTGAATCTTCACCGTTCCTCGGGTAATCGGAACCGGGCATCGACCAGGCCGTGGCATCTGAGATCTTCGCGCCGGAGAATCTGAACTGGTCGGAGCCGTCGTCTCGGAAGCTGCACAGAGACCTCGATCTCGACACGCGCATTTCGTCGAACACCTGGTGGTCGTCGATTCCCCGGTTCTTGATTTTCCCGAACAGGCTCTTGATCTTCCAGAACCCGTTTCCGCTCTTCTTGATCTCCTCGCGGTTGCTGCTGCTCCGGCGAAGCCCCCTCCCCGCCGCCGCCGCCGCCGCCTTCAGCTGATCGAACCCCCTCTCGTTCTCGATCAAGAACGAGATCCGGGAAGAAGAAACATCAGAGAAAGAGCACGAAGAGACGCGATTCTCCCCGCAATCCGAGCAGACAAGCTCCAAGAGCCGGTCTTTCAGGCAGCGAGAGCAGATTCCGACAGAGGAAGCCGAAGGGTGTTTCTCGCACGTCACGATCTCCGAGGTTCTCCCCCCATCTCTCATTGCACTGTTTCTTGAATCTTCTTCGGAAAACGGAAAAAGCTTCGATCTTTCTCTTTTCTTTTGTTCCCAGCAGGAAAAGAAACAGAGAAAGGAAGAAAGGGGAAATGAATGGATGGGGGGAGGCGTCAAGTTTACGTTTTGAGTGTAGGGAACAGTTACAGTGGTGATTGAGAAAAAAAGTGCATCCAAATCCCACTGGACGGACAGCATTGTGAGAAAATAAATCAAGGTATAATTTTAATCTGATTATATTATACTAGTGATTGAAAAAAGGTAAAATATCCACTCCAGGATTCCCACACCCCAGCCCGACAAAATTATGAGATTGATAAGTTATAGTACAATCTCAATCTGGTCGTTAGAGAGGTCGTTCACTGCCGGAATAGAATGGAGTGAAGCAAGCAATGGAACAATCAGAGGCGGATCTACATGTATGAATACAGGGGCAACCCCCGAGTCAATTTTTTTACTCCGTAATATGTAGTATTAAAATAATTTTTTCGTAGAAAATTAAAAGAACGACCCCGATAAAAAATTAGTTTGCCCCCACTGACAAAAGATAATCTTTGTTTAAAAGTAAAAAATAATCACTTAAAAATATATACTGGTAAAATATTTGATATATCATAATTATATTATGTTATGATATATTTGAATACTTGTTTGAAATTAAATTTATTTATTTATTATTATTATTATTATCAAATGCTTTAAAAATATTGAGAGTGCCACCCCTGAACCCCACCATACTCTTTAGTGCGTACTTGCCCCTAATCATATTTTTTTCTGGATCCGCCACTGGAACAACATGTCTTCTATTGTTTCTTGGTTATGTCCCACCACTTCATCTGCATCATTCAATTATTTTCAATTTTTTTATTTATAATTAAATAACATATATAGTATATCATTTAGATATTATAATATTTTGAAAATTTGGGATAGAATAAATCAAAAAACTATTTTTGTATTAATATTTAAGATCGTTTTTTCAATTTGATATCAAAATTTATAATTTTGACCAAAAAATCAATATTAAAGACATACTCATGTGGTGTACTACTTAAAAAAGTCAGAGACAATTAACAAAAGTCAGAGACAATCTTTATCACATGTTGGTGTACTACTGAAAAAACCAGTATTTGCTCATGGTCAACTTTATGTGGCTTTTTCACGTGTCACAAATCGACGAGGATTGAAGATCTTGAGTTGCGACGAAGAAAATAGTCCTCTGGATCATACGATGAATGTTTTGTATAAAGACGTTTTCCAGAATTTATGATTATATATGTACTTAAGTGATATCGTCCAATATTTATTGCTACATATGCTGCATTATAACAAATTTTAGTATACATTGGATAGTTAACTAATTGTCGTATTTGTAATTATGTAGTGTTTTTATGTGTCATATCATTTCTCCACAAAATAAATTTATCGTCGTGCATCGTACGGGTTAGAATCTAGTTATTATCAAATGCTTTAAAAATATTGAGAGTGCCACCCCTGAACCCCACCTTACTCTTTAGTGCGTACTTGCCCCTAATCATATTTTTTTTTGGATCCGCCACTGGAACAACATGTCTTCTATTGTTTCTTGGTTATGTCCCACCACTTCATCTGCATCTTCATTGGATAATTCCTTGTGGAGAAGTTACCCATGGTTTGGTCGGAGAGAAACATGTCAAAATGATAGAAAAGAAAAAGAAAGAGACAAAATATTCTCCTTTGTCTCAAATTATTTACTCGTATTAAGTTTCGAACAATGTGTAAAAAATATCACTTTTAAAATTATTATATCTACAAATTAGTAGAGAAATATAAAATACTCCCTCTGTTCCCGAGTATTTTTCATTTTTGACTTTTTTCGATCAAAATTAGTAAACTTTAACATCAAATTAAATATAAATGTTATTAATTATTGATACAAAATGGTTTATTAAATTTATTATATAAAATATTTTCAAAATATTATGTTAAATAAGTAATACACAATATATATTTTATTTAATTATAAGTCAAAGGTTGAAGGCAATTGACTAAAAAAGTCAAAACTAGACAAATATTCAGAGAGGGAAATAATACAAATTAGATTGTTCAAAAGTATATCAAAAATTCTAATACAATTTTCATGTTTGGATGAAAAAGAAAAAATCAAAAAAAGAAATAGTTTGTGTGGGTCCCATGCCACACAAATTAGATGATATGACACTCAAATGTAATGTCAAAATAAAAGCTCCAACATATACACCTTAAATAAGATTTGATAGACACAATCCAACTCATTTCAACATTCAACAACTCATTTCAACATTCAATTATATTTATCCAACAGATCAACACATAAAAACAAACCATTGAAGACATTACTGTGAATTTGAAGAAAATTTTGCCTGGCAAACGTTGATGGAAGCTTAGTGATATTTTTGCTGCTTGTGCTCACGCTATATGGAGAGCCACGAACTATTTGTTGTACAAAAACATTTGCAAAAAACTTAGACTGTGATGTTTTCTTGTATGGGGTGATTAATTAGTTTTGATTTCGGCTCACTAAAACATAAAAAAAGCAAAGTTTAACTGTCCTCAAAATTTTAGTCTTCAAAACCCCCCAAAAAAAACACTTTGGTTCATAGCGGAGATGCCAGTAACTTATAAAAAAAATGACTCTAGATAAGACTAAAATATAAAGAAAGTACCAAAATAAAATTCATGTCCTTGTTCTCTAAAGAAGAGATCACACTGTGATAATCTAACACTGTAGATTTGCATTTTACGTAATCTACATGATCATGACTGGCAACGTAAATTTATTTTAACTCCTGTTCCAGTATTAAAAACATAAAATTCTTATTTTGGTATATTTTCAATATTTTACTACTACTTTAGTCTTTTTCCTTAACTTATATACTTGTACAGTCGTACGCTACTAGATGGGAGTTCAAATTGAAATGAGACAACAGATTAGGAACTCAGAAAATGCCAAGAAAATAGTTTCAAAGGTAAAACCAAACAATGAAGACCCATTCGATCTACCCCAGTTCCGGCATAGACTTAAACAAGCCTTCCCAAACATTCATTGTCATAAAATCATGAACTCAAAGACAGAACCAGTAGAACAAACCCCTCTTAATTAACAGGGAACTGCCAAAAATTGAACTAAGCACATTACCCTATTAAAACTCGTCAAACAGAACACTACACGCAAGTAACGTTTTAGCTGTCTTCGTCCCGCTTACAGGTCAGCCGTTTGAAGCTCCCAAAGCTATGCCATGAAGAGCGATTCCATGAATGTATGACCACCGGTTTCAACATCTCAACAAAATGACCCGAAAAAAGAGGGTTTCAGGCCTCCTTTCTTGTTATCCTGACATAAAAACAAGAAGCATACAAATCGGTTAATTTCGCGAAACCTGGAAATTTCCAACGGCCCCGCATTAGTGTGTACTCCTTCAGAACAAAATAAGGTTCTACAATTGATTGGGCACGGTTACTAATAATGACTTTAAAAACCTGGTTTCCTATGTTTAGTCCCCAATTCTAAGATATTACGTAAATGGTCGTCAATTTTTGAAATTTTTCCATAAATAATCTTTTATGTCAAATATGACAATGTTTTTTCCACATAAGCCATGAAGGAGCGAATATGGAATAATTTTCAAAAATTGAGGACTATTTATGTAATATCTTAGAATTGGGGACCAAATATGAAAAGCATTGTTGTCAAGTCGTCACCTAGTCGTCCAGGCGTTTTCTAAATGGCGACTTGCACGTCTACTAGCGACTAGGGTAGACTAGGCGACTGGGCGAGTTAAGCGACACCTACGCGCGCCGAGGCAATGACTAGTCTATGAAGAAAACTTGCTCAGTCTCAACCAACCCAATTTGACCCAACCCGACCCAAATTTCATTAAACTTTAAAAATTACTCAATAAAACCCAGCCTCCCTCGATCAGTTTAATCAACACAATCAAAATCCAGTGAATCAACATTTAACTATTCCCAAATCACGACATCTCCTTCATCGACATCTTCCAGAGTTCACAATTCCAGAATCAATATTTTGGAATTGATTCTTCTTCATCTTCTAGTACTCACACGCTCTCTATCCATAAGTAACATCTCTCTATCTTTAATTATTTATCATTAAAGTATACTCTTAATTCGGTTTTATTTTCTTTAATTTGGTTCATAAGACTATTAAAGTACATTATACTCTTAATTTTTCAGTTTTGTTAATCTTTAGTGACTTTATGTTCTACCTTTAAACAAAATTTTATTTTGGTAATGATATTTTGTCATATAAATATATATAGTTACCTTGGGTGAATGAAGATATATACAATGTTAAAAACTTCAATACTAATTGTGATTTGTAGACTAGTCTACGACTAGTAGGGCGACTAGTCGACTAGTCCACTAGTCTCCATTTCACCGACTCGACTCAACTTGTCGACTTAACAACCATGATGAAAAGTTGCCTATAATTAGGGATCATTTATGGAATTTACTCAAAAAAATTGCAGAGAGAAAAATCGAAAGGGACACATTTAATTTGGTTGGCATTTGTGGGGGATTTTGCTTATTTTAGAATCCCAATCAACCTTTTTTTTGTATATTTGGGTTGTATTTTGGCTGAAATGAGATGGGTGATTCCGGTTTCCAAACTGATATGGAGTATTTTGGACATCACCCTGCCCCGTGATTCTACGGTTTCAACCAAAATGAGATTTTGGAAATGACTTTATACACAATTCGCCCTTTTTCATCACTAGCTCATGCATGATTCTAGTGATTTTTCTATACTCAGAATCACCTAATTTTGAAAATGCAAATCAAAGCCACCCAACCCAGTGCTTTTATAAACCTAACTGCATGACATTAATCTTTTTTTATTATGGCTCCGTTTGTTTCAGAGAAAATAACTTGTGAACTATATTCTCCAAAGAAATTGTTTTCCGTTGACTGCAATAAGATGTTAAATGTATAACATAATGTTTTCCTGCGAACAAACGGAGCTTTAAAAAAGTAATAAATTGCAATTTGAAAGTCGAACTGTTAAATCCATTTTAGGTCAGCCCAGGAACAAGATGAACATAGTGAGGGCGTGACGCGATATATTCAACTTCAAAAATTACAACATTTCGTTCAAACAGAAAATAATGAATATTTATATCTTAAGAAATAGAGAAAAAAAACTTACCTGAAACAATAGATTCCCAGAGCTGTTGTTATTTCATGAATAACCGATGTAGCGAAGTGCATATATAGCGACACTGAAAATAATGAAAGGCAAACAGTGTTTTGCAAAGTCCCAAAAAAAGAGAATTATAGTAAACCCAATGCAAAAAGGGAAAAAAAAGATGGAAAATCGAAAACTAGGTATTGTGATTAAGGGCCCTTATGTATCACTGCTAGTTTTCAGTTTATATGTTGCATAATAACCAAAAAAAAGTCATGCTTATACTCATCGTGCTGACTGTTGATTTTAAAAACTGCCAATAAAAACTACTTTTTCTGTTTTTCATAAACTTGTGTTTAGCTTTCACAAAAAAAAATAGAGCACTAAAAGTTTCATTTTTACAAGACAGAGTATATGAAACACATCACACCGCACCAATTAGTAAATAAAGATTACTTCAATTGCCTACATGTTCAAAGTGTCATGTTTCAATTCACGGGCCAAACCAGACCAAGCCAACTCATTCGCACGAGGCGGAGTTGGCTAAATTCAGTAAATTGAATTTCTACTACCATTTTCGTGCGTACACACAATAGAAATAAATAGCAGCAAACCAAGGAAATCATACGCTATCCATGTAAACAAGATCTTGAGAAGAATAAGAGAATGAAGTACCAGAGTAGACACAAAATCCAAGGAGAATCCAGAATTCATCAATTAATGGAATGCTGCCACAAATAAAAGCTCCGGCTTATTGAATTAACACAACACTCAATGTTGAAAAAGAGTGAATAAAAATGGCGTTTAAGAAACAGGATTTTGGAATGCGCATACCCATCATTAAGTCTGGCAGTGAGCGCATTAGCTATGGCAAAAGGCAGATATATCAAAGACTGAAAGACAAAAATAAATATTCATAAGGTTTGCCTGTTTAAGTTGAAATAAGAAACAGACAAAGAAATTTCAATGAAGGAATCCAAATCATTTTCAATTTGTAATCAATATGCAAAGGAAAATATCTTCAACTAGACACATCCAGCCAGAACAATAAAAGCTATCGATTGAGTTTAGTAAAATACATACAGAGTTTTAGTTATAACCATTTTGTACTCTATTTATACGGAAACTTTAAAAAGCAATGCATTGATCAGAATAATCATAATGATTGGTAAGAGAATGCGAGTAAACATAAACTTTAAAACAATCTGCATTCACATTTTTTTCAGATTGAGTGATCAACACATAAAATTCAAACCGCAAAAAAGAATATTAGGTTACACAGTTTGGATACTGAGTTACAAAAAAAGTACCATGCACATGCTAGTTTTCAGGCCCTTGGGTTCATCACATAAATGAGATAGAATCAACCTTCCCTGCAAAACAAAAGTATCTTTTAAACATAGAATGATAAACTTATAACAGAGCATGACACTCAATGGATCGTGTATTCCATGGTGGAGCCACCTTGAGAAATGGAGGGGTTGTGGCCACTCGGGTTGGGATTTTTTCCCCAACATTTTTAAGTGCAATAAGTATAGATGCACAAAATTTTATTAAATTTAGAACATTAGTTTATATTTTAGGTTTGAGAAGGGGTAATCTTACAGTCTTACACCACTCAATTGGCGCCTTTACGGTGCTCCGTTCCCAAAATTGACCGTTCCTACCCCCTAACCCCCCCCCCCCGTAACACCCCCCACCCAGCCCAGCCCTAGCGCACCCACTCCAATTGCCCCATCCAAATTTTGGTCAAAATTTGACCCCAAAAGTTAATAAAATCTGGATGGTGCAATTGGAGGGGGTGCAGGGGTGCATTAGGGCCGGGTCGGGGTGGAGAGTTTACCGGGAGGGTAAGAACCGTCAATTTTGGGTTTTGGGAACAGGGCACCGTAGGTGTGCCAATTGGGTTGGTCTCACAACCGTCAATCTTACACTAAAATAATGGTGTAAGATTACCCCTTCTCATAGAACTTTAGTATTTTGAGTATGTGTTTTAGTTACACTTTGATATGAAGGTGTGTCTTTCCCTGCTTGAAGACTAGAACAAAATTTCAGGATGTGGATTGCATGTGTATGAACCAAGATGAAGGGGCCAGCAATTATATAAGATAGCAATTTCAATCTAGTTTCTGAGTAAATTCAAACAACCACAATATTCGGAGTTCAAGAAGCCAAGAATGTGAAGAAAAATTACCACGAGAAACCCAAATGCAAGACCAGTTCCCACAATGAACAAATGTGGGTACTTCCCCATCAAACCAGATGGAGATATGTATTCCCTGTGTTACAGGTATCAATAAATATTCCAGGGAAAAATTTCAAAATTTTGCTATATAGTGTGTCAAGGGGAATTGAAAAGGAGAAAATTTACCATAGAAGGACTCCTCCAACCAGCACAGAAAATGGATAAAGCTGTCAATTCATTGGGCAAATATATATATCAATTACTGGAAAATAAGAAGGGGTGAAGGGAAATATTGTTCAATAATTTATAGTTTATTTATACGCATACCATAGCCAGAGCTAGTGGCATACTTCCATTTCTTGCCTTAACAACCTTGTACACGTTTTGCACACTGAAAACGATAAATCTGACATAATGAGCATTCACGTGGAACGATACACAACAGTGCAAATAACTATACTATCACTTAAGGATATGAAGTATTTCAAAGCCACAGTTCACAATTGTTAAGATTTGAAGTTAAAACAAGTAATGTACAGGCAAATTTCTCATTCAATCAAAAGTAAAGGAAGTCCCAGATGCAAAACAGTGAAAGGCAGCCAGCTTGAGAAAACTCTATCCTATATTCTGATTCTGCATTGAAGACGAAAATTAGAGCTCAACATCTTAAAGGTCATCTCTTTGTATATGTAGTATACTAGTATCATGATCATCATCACCTTAGTCCCAATTAATTGGGGTCGGGGACATGAAATTTATAGCGCCACTTAGTTGTTTAAATAAGTTTAACACTGAAATTTATGCAAAAAAGTGTCCTTGCACTCTATTTAGTTACTCCCCCCATCCATTAATTTCTTTCCCACTTTCTTTTTTGGGTTGTCCAAAAATTTCTTTTTTGTTTCCTATTTTGGCAAAAAGCTTTTAATGAATGTTCAATTGTACCCCTACTTTTTCTCTACACTATTCACATTATTCCATCACATCAAGGGAAAAACATGTAAAGTCTTTACACTTTGTAACTATTCTTAATCTCTGTGCCAAGTCAAACCGGGAAAGAAATTTTTGGACGGAGGGAGTATTTATTTTGATTTGTAATCCTCACTACTAGAAAAAATGGAAAAGTTAGTTTGATAATGTGAAAGATAATGCTAACTACACATTGAAGAGGAGAGAACATTCTACTTCATATAGGACCTCCCCAACAGCCGCCCCCCCCCCCAAAACCCCAAAATGACCCCAATGGTTCCATTGAAGTTGTGTAACAAAGCTCCATACCTTAAAATGAATTTAAGAATCAATTGATGAAGGACATAAGAAGTAGACTTGATGCATTTGGAAAAACAACTTACTTGAATGATACTGTCGGTATAACACCAAAGACTATCATGAGAAACAGCACAGCTCTAGCTGTTGAGATTTCTGAAGTCATTTAAAAGGATAAAAAAATCAGGTTGTTAATTTCAATGCATCCATTCATATTCCCTACATAGTACAAACTATAGACTATGGAACCATGAGGGGATGGGGGACTAAAGGGTATATTGACTCAACCTGAAATAAGAACTACAAACTTGTACTCCACAAAGAATTCAGATAATATACACACCAGTAGAACAGCAGGAAGTAAAACACAAGATTCTGGAATAATTCCAGTGGAATTTGTTGTTGACACAAATCACTCAAGACATGCATAACGTACTGTTTATAAATGGAACCCAATTCAAATATGGCACCGACTTCCCGAAATATTGAGCCCACCACTCGGCACCTAAAGAAAGTTTCGAAGTAATTAAACGGCAGAACGAGCTAAGACTGAAAATTAAATTAACATGAGACTTAGGTAGGAGGATCACTTGAGGAAAAGTGAAAATACCAACAAAAGCAGTAAAAAAATGGGCAAGATATATCAGCATGAGACCCTCAGTAGGACCATTTATTGCCGGGAGAATAAGTGTGTTGGTGAAATAACTGCAAGAACAACAAATTAGTGTTTTTACTGGTCATAGCTTAATGATCTAGTATTCAGAACAATATATACTGATCAATAAAGAGATATGTGATTTTATTATTTAAAAAAGCAAAGTGAACAACACGTGAAAGTTGATGTTCACACGGTCAAACCATATCTTGTTTTGTTAACTATTCTCATTAATCATTTGTCTAAATACTCCCTCCGTTCTTAAATACCTTCAACGGTATCACTTGAACAATGTTTAAAAATTAAAAAAAATATTGCACATTTGTGTAAAGTTATTTAATGAGAAAAATAGGTTGAATTGATGGAAGAGTAAAAGAAACAGTTGATGTGAAAGAGAGAATTTCACAAAAAGAAATTGTGTAAAGTAAATTGGAACGTCCCAAAAAGGAAAGTGTACAAAGTACTCCGTACTTAGGATTAGGAACGAAGGAAGTATACAAATTTTGTTGTTTTAGGTCTACAGTCTACACCAATATTTAAATAAATTGAATTGAAAAATACTGCAGTTAGGCATCATAAACTGAAAAAAGAAGATTAAATAGGTAAGGAGGGACTGGGGGAGTAATAGACTGTAACAGATCAAACATCACTTGATAGTTGAAACTCACTGTTCCCATGTAGCACAATAAAACGGAACAACTGATATAAACCAGAACCAGAAAGTAGCTGGTCCACACATAGCACTGCTCCCAAAGGCCAAGGATTCAAACTGAAAGACAAACATATAGCATCTGTAAAGCATCACCTTTACTCCTTTACCATGGAAAATATATGAAAAGTAGAAACTATGCTTACCGTACAGGCAAGTGCATCACATCCTGGTTAATGTGTTGGACGTAACGTCATTTATCAAAGGTGTAGTATGAGCACCCAATTAGTAACAAATAAAGCACAAAATAATGCAAAAAATAGTTAAGGAATAACACCATGATCAAAAAGCTCTCCCAATGGACTGGATGAATTCGTTCGTCTAGCTTGTTTTCCATCTACTGCATCAAATGTCTAAGAAGCATTTTGGTAGAGTCAGAAATTGTTAAGATCATACAGATTGGTGGACCAAGTTTAGAGGTACCACCATGCTGAAAAATTGTGATATGACTCTTACACAATGAAAGTATACAGATTGGACAATTCCATAGCGTATTTTACACCAGCAAAATCTATTAACCCAAACTCAAGCATTTTCAGTGTTAATTTGTAGCTAGATTGATTTCACATAGTTTCTTAAACCACCAAGTGCCACACACTCACTACAATAGATGCAATGAGATATATACCGATTATACCAACTTGTCAACAACAAAGACCAAATGCCAAAGATGTGGCTGACAGCACTGCTCCACAGAGTGATAGGTGTAAATGGATAATAATCCTACCACCCCAGAATAAGGTTCCACAATTGACAAGCACCGATATTAAGAAAGGTGATATTGTGTGATTGAGATTTATGCATGGGAAAGAAAAAAAGAATACTCCGTATGCGTCATGCAATGCTTTCCTTAGAAGAAAAATGGAAGCTTTTTGGGACAAACAGCAAAGGAAATGTAAAACCTTTTTGTTTTGGGTGAGAGGGAGTAATGAACATGTACATACATTCTTTTATACGAGTCCTACATAAAGAATAGGTGAACCTGGTAAAGGAAGAGAAGTAAGCCATGTGCAAAATGAACCCATCTTGGAGGTGGTGAATCCAATTGAGGGGAATATATCTGTGAAAAAGCACTCGGTAAGCAAGCAAATAATGGAATAGTAAGTCCAATGAATGTTTTGTTTATGGGAAAATATAAAATAACTATTTGATGGTTCTAGAACATGTCTAATACTCTAATCTACCTTAAGTTTATAGTCTTCACTCAAACATAAAAAGAAACATTACAATTTGTCCAATAAAATTACACCCTCTGTCCCAAAAAGATTTTTACAGTTTATTTACATGGTCATACCATATCTTGTTTCTTAACATATTTTCATTGATCATTAGTTAAAATAAAATAATGAAGTCACCTATTGTTTTGTTGAACTCTTGATGTAGCTCTTTAAATATATAAACTTTAATTTTTAATTTTACACCAATATTCAAATAAATTGGATTGAAAAATAAACTTGGTAAAACATTGTAAACTGAAACATAAATATAAATTTGGGACGAATGGATAATTAAATAAGTTTGCCAACCTGATACCTTAACCAAGAAGCAAAACACAAAGCCAAAATAAAGAAGTCCAAATTCCCAAGTATGCAACACAATGTCTGACCAACTTACAGTCTATAGTAAACACCGACAAACAAAGCAGACATACTATACAGAGCAGGAATAGCTGAATGGGGAACTGGGATAAAAGTACAACTTACATAGCCAAGCAATGCAGAAGTGACTAAAAACAAAAATCCAGTGAGTGTAATCTGAAAATGGAAGGGTTTGTATCAGATAAAGTCACATGAAAAAATGAGGATACATGTTTGGATCTAACACAAGATTGATTATAGAGTATTTACCATATTGGGCCTAGTAGAGCATATCCAACACATGCACAAGAGGACAAAAAAATATTAGGTAACCAATTAGAGAAAACAAATTAAAGGATTAGCATAGAATAGCCATCACTCTAGAAAAATTTATTAAAAAGAAATTAGACACAGTCAAGGCCTTTCATATGCAAATTATGAATATTAACACAGAACTACCGAGGATGTTGCCAAGCAAAACCCAGCGATAGTAATCGTTTCCCAACTTGAAATGTAATTATAAGAACTATAATGAAGAACCAGCCTTTCTAACAAAAGACTAAACCACTGAAACTGATATCCCCAAGAGTGGGATTCAATCTGATAAAATATATACTGTTCCATCCATCCCAAATTTATTTTCCCATGTGAAAAGTGAGATTATGTGGTGGATGAGAAAGAAATAATGTGAACCACACATTAATTTCTTAAAATAAATGGAAATATCATTTTGGGCCATCCAACAAAGAAAGGTGGGGAGATCATTTTGGAATGGAGAGAGTAACATTTATATTACCCAATAGTCCATTACATTCCTCAAAATAATTCTTTCTCGAATTTCTTATCCACAACCATTTACTTTCGTAGGAATCCAACACACAAACACACACACACACACACACAAATAGATTATGCAACTCAGGCTCACTGCTCTTGCACTAAATGGTAAGGGAATCAAATATCTACAGAGCCAAAAAAGGTCATTATACAATCACTACTGAAAGATTCATAATTTGATGAATGTAGTCACTGCACTGTAATTGAGGTGTGCACTCACACAACCACACACAAGAACACAAAATTTTGGCATTGAACGCTTAGAAAAGCAATGGTGTACATAAGGAGATGTGTACTTACGGCATCCAGAGAGGGAAGAAATTGACACAGCGACTCCAGAAGGGCTGCAACACATACTTGGCTACATAAGAGTGGTCCACTCCGCTGTACTTGTAACGATGCAATGCTGCTATTCCGTGTGCCCCTATGTACCCCATCTTTTAACTCTTGAACCTAAGAGAAGACTCTTCAATAATTAGAGAAATAGTTTATTCCCTAACACTATGATCAATTCATCATCTCAGACAAACAGAGATGCAATGGAAAATGGAGTTCTTAGATATTTTATTTTTAGAAAACTAAATGGCATAGAATCAGAAACAACTGCAAATATGCATATAAATGCAGATACATACGAGCAGGCTGGATGGAGAGATTTTGTGAGTGCAATAACAATCAGAAGGATGCTTCCCGCCCTAGGTGAATATGATGAAAGGTGGTGTACAAACTTTTAATCAAACTGGAAACCTAATTTCCAATCTCTATAATCCTCGGCATCACATTGAATGAATCAAATTGCAGCATAAGACCTAATATTCTAACATTTGGTTTTGAACAATACGGTTAAAACAGGGCCGGTCCTGAGAATACAACGGCCTGGGCCGAGATAGAAAAAAGGCCCTAAAAATCTTATCCCTAATGGTCTAACAAATTAACAAATGTAAACTAATTATATTTAAATGATAATTAACGCAATCTGTTAACATAGTGCAGGGAACGAAGAAGAAATTTTAAATGATGCACACGGCTCATGCTAAATGTTTGCCAGATGTTGCATACTATAGCCTCTAAGTGAAACTTCCGTTACTTTTCTGTTTGGTTATTCTCATAAGTAAATGGGTCGCCCATTTGGATTCGCCTCATTGAAAAGGCTGCCCATAAATTCTTCTCTAAACCCCTCAATGTATGGGAACTTTGACGCTGTCATATATGGGTTATACTTAAAATTATATATTTAGATATTATTCATTTTAAAATGTAAAAAAGGATTTTTAAATTTTTTGAATTCAACTAAAATTATAGAATAAATATATTCCCGTGCAACGCACGGGGGAAATACTAGTATCTCATAAATTCAAATCAATTCATCCAAATCAAATAAAAAACATATGGAACCATTAATTCATTCATATTTCATAGCAATTCGCAAAGATTTCAAACTAAAATTAATAATTAACCCTAAATTTTAAATCCAAAGAATGAAACAATGAAAGAAAGAAAATTAGGGGAAAAAAATTAAAAAATTGGAAATATAGTGAATACGGAATACCTGGAGGGTGTAGCTGCGTCTTGCGGCGGCGACGTCTCCCTACCGGTGGCGTTCTAGGCAATCGGCACTCTCTCTTTCCAATTTGGTTTCGGCAGTAGGCTTGGTCCTTCGAGCTTCTGGTTTGCGTGGTTTCCTGCGAAGACAGAAGGGATGGGCGGCTGGGGGGATGGGCTTAAAACCAGACAATTCACCACTTAAACCATCGTCAGCTAGTAGGATCAATTCCTTACCGTGAACAATAATGTCGGTCACGGTTCACCAGGTGTTGTCGATGGCTTGGCCGATGCTTTCGAACGATTCCTGATCGGCGGCAGCGCCTGACTCGATCCGAGCGGGCAAGTCCTTGACGGCGCGGCGGCAGGCAGCTTCTGGAATCGTGGCAGCCTCCCTTTCTCGATCACCGGTGAAATTCTCGAGATCTCGAAGCTAGTACTGAATCACAGATTCGGAGTTTGAATTAAAAGTTCTCATTTCTCAACGTCCATGGGTTACCGATAGCAATATTCGGGTCGGCATCCGGATCTTCGAGAGGACAATTAGGTAGGGTTCGGATTCGAAATTTTTTATTTTTGGTAGTACAATGCCGAAAAAAGCTGGAAAGATTCGCAATTCTTTGTCGTTTTTTCCATATCTCCTTCCTCCACAAATTAGTATAAATCCATTCTACCAGTAGAACTCATATTTACGTTGTAAAATTATATTGATGTCGAGAAATTAAAATAAACTTTATACTGGAGTAATTAAATATGAAGTATTCCTTCCGTCATAAAATTAATTTCTCATTCGACTTTTTACGTTCTCCAATCTGATACTTTGATCATTAATACCTCTATTTTTATACGAATATATATTACAAAAATAACATATTTCAAAACTATGTTTCAAAATGAATCTATTGATAATAAATTTATATAAAAATTTAATATATTTTTTCTGTAATATACGGTCAAAGTTTAAAAAGTTTGACTGCAAAAGTCAAACTGAGAAATTAATTTTTGGATAGAGGGAGTATAAAGTTGAAGAGTATGAATATCTGATGAATACAAATTATATTGGTACTCACAAATCATTAACAGCGACTTCTATTTTTTGTTAAACGAAACACGCTGCAATGTATCCAAATGTATAAACAATTAATCTCCACCAAGGATGATTGTTTTCCTCCGAACGTCTGATTTTCACTCATTTGATTGGAAAATTGTAGAATGTCGTGCACACTTTTATCTAAAGCTTCAAAATAATACTTATGTGTCATTGATGTTTCGTCCAAAAATGTCGCCAATGTGCAAGTGGAGTTCCTTGCTTTATGCTGCAAGTTGAGTTTTCATCTGAATTCAATGATACTTTAAAACGTGATTATGTTGTTTTTCCACCAGACAAAAGAAATGATACTATTCCACTTGATGCGATATTCAATACTATATCGCCGCTATATTGTATTCCAACAGATAAGTTCTCCAAAAATACATCTTGCCAGTTCAAATAATGAAAATTTTACCTGTGTTTGTATCAATGAAATGCATTCTAGTGTCATACGATGCATGTGGTTCGTCATTTAACGTGTCCATAAGACCATAAGGGTGATGTGCTCACTTGTCAAGGCTACACGATAAGGGTTGTTGAGGTTTAGGTTCGGATCGAAAAAAACTGACTAAATAAGATTGTTAGGTTCAGACCGCACCCTGACCAAATGGATTTTGGGTTGGTCTTCGGTCTCAAAAAATTAGGTGTTCGGGTTTTGGTCCTATCCAATCCAAACCCAAAATAGTTTAGGTTCGGACCGATTGGACAAATGAACATAAAATTCAATTGGATCTAGAAGACTTAAATATTAAAACTCTACTTTTTATGTTCTATATTACACATTGATGCTCTATTTTAATAGATATCTTAATTTATTTAATAAGAAAGAGTTTTATCAAGTAATTTTTAAAAAATTTAAAAAAGTTTTACATTAGTTTGTATGATTCTACAAGTAGTTTATGTTGTATATCTACTTTTGGGTAACCCATTTTTTTCTATTTGTAGACTACAAAATATATTTAATTGATCAAAATAATTTCAAAAAATATTTTTATTCGCTTCAGACTCGTTCGGTTCGGTCTGGCCCACACCTGAATAGGTTTAGGTTCGTTCTTTGATCCGTAATTATATTCAATTCGGTCTTCAGTCCTATTCGGATCGATTCAGTTTGGTCTGGTTTGGATCGATTAACAGCACAATACTTGATCGTTATTATGTGTGTATATGTGTGTGTGTGCGTGTATGCATTTATTTCTTTTTTAATACTCATTAATATCGTACTTATAGGAATACAATTACCTTATTGTAAATAATTACTCCACGGGAATCAAGATTTTTTTTTGTGTTTTTGTCCCATTTTTTATATTTATATAAACTTTAAATTAAATTTATAGTATCTAATATTAAATAATAGTTATAAAGTTTTAATTATTAATACTCCACATTCTATTATTTTTTGTAATAATAATAATAATAATAATAATAATAGACTCTAAAATCAACTAAGTGGTGTGATCACGGGGGAGCTAATATCAAATGTAACCAATATTCCTCATTACTTAGAGCATCTCCAACCATGCTTGTTATATGGATTTGCTATTTTTACTTTATAGCAAGTGAATAGTGATATAGCAAACACTTTTTTGCTTCATTCTCCAACCATTATTTGTTATTTCATTTTTTAAGTATTGGCTATCTAAATTTTGAGGGACTTGTCATATTTAGCAAACCAAATTCATTTTTTGGCAAACTTGTTAAAATAAAGCATGTCCTTTGGAGAAGAACAAAAGTGTTTAACTATTTATATTATAACTTTTAGCAAATTAAAATGATATGATTGGAGATGCTCGTTCGTAATGGATGGGGTTATCCTCTTGAAAAAATGATTTCCTCGGGGATTCCGGATGGATCACACCCACGCAAACTGGCACGTGGATTCCAAAAATTTAAAAATAAAAAAATGCAAAACGTTAAACCGAAAGGAAGAAAATTTGCGGACCACGAAATCGGGATGACCCCATGGGCCCGGGCAGACGGGATTGGACGGTCATAACAAATCAAGAACTAGGGCAAAATCGTCCAAGTCAGTCCTATAAATATGAGAGTTTCTTTCTCCTCCTCCTTCACCTTGTAAACCTCAAGCCGTTCCTGTCGCATCTTCTTCCTGCCTAATCTCTCTCAAGCTTCAGACAGATCGACGAACCCTAATTCGGATTGCTTCGTAGGTGCTTCACGGAATCACGGCTTCCATCGAAATTCCGAACTCGACATTGTAAGTCCGATTCTTGTGCCCGCATTGATTTACATCGCGTTTCATGCTCGAGAAATTGTTGTTTTTTATGAATCTAGGTTTGATAAGTCGATTTGATTGTTAAAGCGCTCAATTTTCCTCGTTTTCTGGGGCTCGCATCGGTTTCTTGATGGATCTTTAGCTGTTGGAATCATAATTTCGGATCTTTCGTTTTGTGCATTTTTTGATCGGTGATCATTCGAATCTGGGCATGTTAATTACGAATTTGTCTTGATCCGTGCGTTATTATTGATGAGAGCATACATTTTGATCTGTTGGTTTATTGAACCTATAAATGGTCTCACCGGATGTAATAATTAACTACTCCATATTTGATACAATCATGATCATATAATATGGCTTTATGTTTCTAGAAATACAGGATTTTGATGTTTCTGTTTGATTGTTAGACCCAACTGCTTTATGATTCACGCTATCTTATGTTATGTGTCATGTTGTGTTAGTAGTTGATAGAATTTTGTGATGTCTGACCTTTTCTTTTCAAATGTTGAATTTGCAGGATTGAATGTTCTAATGGAGTCTAATCGTGGGAATAAGTCTAGTAGTAGTAGTAGTAAATCGTTCTACGAAGCTCCTCTAGGTTACAGCATTGAAGACGTCAGGCCAAACGGTGGAATCAAGAAATTCAGATCTGCTGCATACTCCAACGTATGTCTCTTAATTCTGCCTTGTTCTAACAATGAGTTTTTTGTCAATTGATAATTTTTTTACAATGTTTATATATCCTTATGGTTTTGTTTTTGTGTTCTTCTTTTGCAGTGCGCTCGCAAGCCATCCTGATATTCCCTAAATTGCCCTTCTTCTCACGTCTGCGACGTGATCTTTTTTTGTTTGCTTTCTTTTTCAATTCCTTTCCTTTTTTTTTTGCTTTGTCACAGCCCCTCCTTTTTCTTCTTTATTTTGCTGCTTCCTTGCTTGCTTTCCCTTATCATTCCCAGAAATTGCCATCTCTTTGATTTTTGAACATTTTATTGGAAATGGAATTGGAAATGCCTGTGTCTGCTATTGGTTTCGAAGGATATGAAAAGAGGCTTGAAATTTTGTTTGCCCAACCTGGAATCTTTACGGATCCTCAAGGAAAGGGTCTACGTGCTCTCTCTAGAGCCCAATTGGATGAGTTTCTTGGCCCTGCTGAGTGTACAATTGTTTCTTCCCTGTCGAATGAATTCTTGGACTCTTACGTCCTCTCTGAATCAAGCCTCTTTGTCTATCCATACAAGATCATCATCAAAACTTGTGGAACAACTAAATTGCTTCGTGCAATCCCGCCTATTCTGAAGCTTGCGGAATCCCTTTCTCTGGATGTTCAAACTGTGAGGTACACCCGTGGCAGCTTCATCTTCCCTGGAGCGCAGTCATATCCTCACCGGAACTTTTCCGAAGAAGTTTCTGTTCTAGATAGCCATTTTGGATACCTTGGGAGCAAAGCATTGGTTTTGGGTGGCTCAGATAGCCCTAGCCCACAGAAGTGGCATGTCTACATTGCTTCATCTGCTCCTATCAAATCAAAGAACCCTGTTTACACTCTCGAAATGTGCATGACTGGTCTGGACCAGGATAAAGCTAGGGTCTTTTACAAGAATGAATCAAGTTCTGCTGCTTTCATGACACACCGGTCTGGAATAAGAAAGATCCTTCCAAAATCTGACATTTGTGACTTCGAGTTTGATCCTTGTGGCTATTCCATGAACTCTATTGAAGCCGATGCAATATCCACCATTCACGTGACCCCTGAAGATGGGTTCAGCTATGCAAGCTTTGAAGCTGCCGGGTATGATCTTGAAGATGTTAAACTGCCAGCGATGATTGAGAGGGTGCTTACGTGCTTCGAACCGAGCGAGTTCTCTGTAGCAGTTCATGCTGATGTGTTGGGGAAATTTCTTGAGCAAACTTGCTCTCTGGAAGTGAAAGGTTACCACCTGTGCGAGAAGAACAAGGAGGAGTTTGGTATGGGTGGATGTGTTGTCTACCAGAAATTTACCAGGGCCCACACCTGCGATTCGCCAAAGTCTGTTCTTGAAAGCTCCTGGAAGCAGGCAGGTAAAGAAGAAGAGGAGTTCTATTGCTGAGGGTTTTTTGTTTTTTGTGTGTCATTGTTATGAGTCTTTTTTTTCTTGGCGTCTAGTGGTCAATAATAACGTCCAGTCCCAGCTTGTTGGCGTTTGGACTTGAAACACTGTTGTTATTGTGGTACTCTGCTTTTTTTTAAAAAGCTTTTCGTTGGTCCAATGCAATTATTGTCATATTTTATTCAATCTTACCATCTATACGTTAGAAATATGTCTAAATGTCTAAATGAGTTTGTCACTTATTCCAGTAATGCTAATATATTTACCTTTTTTATATAAATTTTTAATGCTCTAACAAGAAAGGTATTTGAGAAGGTATTATACTTTGATATTTTAGAGAGATATCTTAACTTTTTTTTAAACACAAAATATATGAGTAGTATTTATTTTTATTTTGCCTTTTTCTATTAGAATTCACTACTTTTAAAGAAGGTATATGCTCTATTATAAATATTTCTGAATGGCTCATCTCCTATTGAATTCATTTTACAAATACTCCGGTAATACTTTAATTTCAAATATCTAACTATGAACAACAAAATTTATTTTTGAAAGAAATCACAATTTCAAAAAAAAAAAAAATAGTGATTGTTTTTTTGAAAACACTAAAATGGAATCCATTAAACTACACGAAGGAGCTTTAGCAATCCAACATAGAAGTAGTAGATTATGGACGCATATACTGTAAGTGCTCAAGCAAGCTAGTAACCTCGTGAACCATTCCATAGTTCTATATATTTTTCCATAATTTGTGGTCAAAGTTTGACCACAAGAATCGAAACGAGTAGAAAAATATGAGACGGAGAGTAATTACAAATGACAAAAAAGTGAAAAACCCTTGTGGCATATAATTGGTTGGGACCTTTGACATAAATACCCCGAGTACATTAAATACCCGGAGTACATTATCGTACATTCTCACACGAGCTATAGATGTAACATAACAATCATTTCATCAAGTGAATGAAAAAAATAAACAAAAAAAAAGATTAAAACTTAACTATATAGTCCATAAATAGTGAGCAAACATTTTATATGAGAACGAGAGTATATATTTTTGCAATAAAAAATGTAAAATATTTTACTCTCCGTCCAAAAATTTTCTTTTCAGTTACTTTTTACATGATCAAACTTTAATATACTCATATTACATCTTGTTTTATAAAGCTTTAGATGTAGTTTTTTAATTTTTAATTATACACTTATAATCAAATATATTGAATTGAATAAAATAACTTCAGTCAAATCTTTTAAAGCAGAACCGGAAAAAATATTTTAGGCCCGGGGAGTAATAATATAAAATCCAGAGTAATTTTTGAATGCTTTTTGCAAAATAAATATCACAAAACTAAATTTGTAGCGGTATATACTGTAACTTTTATTTGATTAACGATCAAAACTCATCCACTTTGACTGTAATAAAGTCAATTTCGACGAATATTCTGTAACGGAAGTAGTAAAAAGCACTAAAGACTAATTCCGAAAATAACAATACCGTGGAGTAGTTCAGAAATCCAGCCATTTTGAGAAGTAGTCACACGTCTTGGGAGAGATGATTCCATCGTCCGTACATTCGCCAATCCTCGTGCATGCCAAACAAGGTATTGAAGCCCTGTTGTTCATCCTCGGGCCCACCCCAGCGGCCCCCCTTGCAATCCTATAACAAACGGCCCCAATCGGTATAGAATGATAGTCTCCCAGCCCATTGCTCTTCACCTCTATAATGGCATTGTCCAACACAAGATTCTTGAGGATTTCACTTATCTGTCCACTGGTGCAGCCACTGAGAGCTTTCCTCTGGTTCAGAAAGTCATAAATTCCCTGGGCAGTGGAGACTTGCTGTTTATTTATGACCTTTACACACACTTCTTTGAGACGCCCGATGAGCTCTTTGTCAAGATTCCCATCACTGTACCATGCGCCACCTGTGAGTTCCTCAGACGGTTCAAACTCAACAGCCATAAAGTGCTTTCTTGATTTGTTCTGTATGTTCTTGACCGGTTTTATGAGGTTCTTTTTCAGGAGGGACGCGAGGCATTTATCAACCACGTGTGGTGGAAGCTTTGCATCTTTTTTCACGTCGGCCAGCCATATGCCGAGACCCATCCTGCTTTTGATCAGATTGAGAACAACGGTTTCAGCATCTGCCACAGGCTGAGAAGGCGAAGGCTCATCTGGTCTTCTCCTCTTCATCTGAGTATAGAATCAGAACATGAAAATTTCTTTATTCACAAATTCACATAATAAGTGCATTGGTAATAGTGATGTATTGCACTTGTCATACTGGCCATCGATAACCAAGATCAAGATCAAAGTAAATAATTTAAATTGGATGGTGGGTCTTGAATCTCAAACAGATATATGATTCCATATTAAGTAGAAAGCCGAAAGTGGAAAATCCTAACGGGAAGATGAACGAGGAAGAAAAATAATGCATTTAAAATGGAAAATTGATTATGTAATTCGCATAACTACTACCACTGTCCCATAATATTTGTCAAGTTACAAACTTTGATCGTCAACTAAGTAAAAGTTACAATGCATAATGATACCATGACACAATACTTTGAAATCAGACGAATATGATGAGATCATTTCTGTATTGGAATGTGATGCCATATTAGTTTAGTTTTAGTTGAAATCAGACAAATATGATGAGATCATTTTTTATGATGCCATATTAGTTTAGTTTTGGGTAGGGAAAATAGTGTTAGACATCCTAAGAATAGCCCAATTGAGAACCTGCAACCTAAACCCTCCTTCATAGTGAAAAAAAAATTGAGGGTTTACAAAAAATTGAAGACAAACAAGACATGGATGAATGTATATATCAAAACAAACTAATAAGCCAATAAAAAAGTCATAGCTTTAACTTTCTGAAAAAGGTTATCCAACTTTCTATCTTAGATTTAATGTTTTCAAATTAATAAAATTCATCTCACAAATGTTGTTCCCAAAGCAACTTAATACTGTATTTGACTCAAAATAAGACTCCATATTATTATTATTAAGTAATATTCACATTGTCGACATGGGTAGACACAAAATTTTTAGTGCATGGTGTCCCATTCTTAGTGATATTTTTATAAACAATTTTGTAATGTTACTAGTCTTTCGGTGAAAAGATTTACTATACTAATTACAGAACCTAATTATATCTTTTTTTCCTACTTATTCTCTAATCATATAAATTTTGATGTAGTTTTTAAATATACAGTTCTAAATTTGACACCAATATTTAAACAATTTGTGTTGAAAAGAACTTTAGTCAAACATTGTCGTCCGAAACAAGAAGATTAAATCTGGACAAATGGAGTACTTGAGAACCCACACATATCACTTTAGTCTTGGAATGTATTAAAACCAAATGAAACAATGAGTTCAATATAAAGAATGTGGCCAGGGCCGGTATTGAGACTTCAACGGCCTGGGCCGAGACAGAAAAAAAGCCTAAGAAGTCTTATCCCAAACTCCCTGTTGGTCTAAACAATTAAAATATGTAAACTAATTATATTTAAATGACAATTAACCCAATAGTATTAAAAGAAAATAAGTAAATGACAAAATCATAGTAGTATAATTACATGCTGTAAAAGCTAGCCGAGAATTCGTAAACTTCTCCTTGCATTTTTAAAGCAAATTGATTGATCACATCTTAGTGAAATCAAATACACAAATACAAACTTTAAATTTCTGAAAAAAAAAAACAGATCTTCAGATTTTCACAACAAATTCATAACAATTAGCAAAAATTCCAAATAAAGATTTCCAATTTTTCACATGACAAACTCATATAATAAATTGTCAAATTCACAATAAAAATTCATAACACAAATTATAAAGATTTAAGATTTTCAGATTTTCACATAACAAATCTTAAAATTCTTAAAGAAATTCTGAAATTGGTATTTTTTACCTCCGTACCTGGACTCCTGGACCTGGAGGCAAGACTCTAGAGCAGTGGAGCGTGCAGGCGGGCGGCGGCGTCTGGCGGTCGGCGGCGACTATCTCTCGGCGACTTCCTTCGGGGGTCTTTTTCAATTTCCGTCCGTGCCTTCGTGGGTTTGGGCGTTTGACTACTTCTGCTTTCTTCTGTGGAACGGAAATGGGAGGGCTAGCTGGGCTGGGCTTCAATATTATATACGGAGTATATAATACTCCGTATTTAAAAAAGAATAGGTCCCTTAAATTGTTGGGCCTGGCCCGGTGTCCCCCTAATGGGCCGGCCCTGAATGTGGCTACTAAATACCAGCACATCTCAAAAGCCTAAACATTCACTACTAAAGTACTCATAATTTAACTCAACACTTTTTATTTTACAACAAAACACACCTATTTTACATTTGTGAAAAAAAAAGATCCTTTTACATTTTAAAAATAGTTCACAATCGATTAATCAAAGAAATTGAAGGATTTAGTTTAAGAGTCTATTTGGTACACGAAATTGACAGAGAATTGATTTGGATGAAATTGAATTCTTTTACTCAAATTTCATATTTAGAATTAGAATTATTACCCCTAATTTCAATTTCATAATTTGAATTTTGTGTGCTAAACGCAACCTAAGTATTATGCAGTCATTCACTCCAGAATTCTAGATAAATTTTACTCTGAAACCAAAATAATCTTAAATTTAGTCTGCTAACAGGCTCAAGATTTAAAAAAAAAATCTCTCGAACTAATAGTCAAAATGAATTTTTGTATCAGAGCTGGAAAAAGATAGAGAATCTTGGCTATGATAAATAATTGATAAAGAATACAAAAATCCACAAATCGCAGATTCACATTTCACGAAATCATAACTGATACATCTCTAAAGCTTTTTTCCAAAATACAGAGTTGTTAGTTGTTACCTTGATAAAGAAAAACAAAGGAAGAAATACATTGAGGTAGAGGAATGGATGAAATACCGTGACAAAGCAGGCGGAGCAACGGCAATTCTCGCGCGGTTAGGCGGCGCTCGGTGTTGGCGATGGTGGAGTCCAGCCTTCGTCTCTAATAGTCTTTTTAGTTTGTTTGGTATGTAAGATTTGTTTTTCTCTACCACGGAGTATTATTTTTTACATAAAACACATAGAAACAAAAACAATAACAATGTACTATTGCTTTCAGTTTTGGTAGAAAATGATAAATCACTTTATTCACAAATTAAAATAAAATTAGGAAATGAAAACAAATTGAAAAGGTTTGAACATGGATCAAAACAAATAAAATCAATTTTGCTTCTCCACCACTATTGAAGATAAAATTTATAAATTTTACAGTGATCAAAATAAATATTTAAATTAAGAGAGGACTATTTACAAAAATAAAGATCTCACAGGGATGATTTAATTAGAAAAATATTTTGGAAGAGTAAAAAACATAATTCACTTATTTTACAAGGATAAAAAACATAATTATTCATTAAAAGAACGTTAAATACTTTATATGTTTTAGTAAACAAATTTTGTTTTAAATCCTTAGAAAATAGGCTATTTAAAAGAAGTTTTACAAAACAAAGGTTTAAATAACTATTTTATAAAATATAGGAAGTATTTTGGGACAAATGAATACTACCTCCGTCATAGAGTATTTGTCCACTTTCATTTTTACACACCATCGAATACATTTCTTTAATCCATTTTATCTTGTAATTTGTATATTAAAAAATTATAGAAATTATATATTAATAATATACTCCCTCCGTCCCACTCTCTTTGTCCACTTACCTTTTGGCACACCACCCAATGCACTTCTTTATTCCATTTTATCTTGTAATTTGTATATTAAAAAATTATAGAAATTATATATTAATAATCTATATGTTAAGACAAATCAAACAAGATCACACATGACTATATTTAGGCTTACACATTAAGAGAATTTGATGAGTCACAGTGCTTAGATGAACAGTTCCAAAAGTCAAAAGTGGACAAAGAGAGTGGGATGGAGGTTGTATATGTTAAGACAAATCAAACAAGATCACACATTACTATTTTTAGGCTTACACATTGAGAGAATTTGATGAGTCAAGGTGCTTAGATGAACAGTTCCAAAAGTCAAAATGGACGAATACTCCGGGACGGAGGGAGTATCAGTTAGGGGCTGTTTGTTTCAGCCTCTTAATGGTTCAGATGTCTGAATGGTTCAGCACTTAATGGTTCAGACGGTTTGTTTTTGCCTCTTAATGGTTCAGATGTTTGTATGGTTCAGACATTTGCCTCTGAATGATTAAGTATTATACAGAGTCTGAATGGTTAAGACCTCTTATGTGAATTGATCAGACATTTGCCTCTGAATAGTTAAACAATATACTAGCTCTTTATGGTTCATACCTCTTACTCGTTCAGCACTTAATGGTTCAAACCTCTTACTGGTTCAACACTTACCTATTCAGAAGTTGCCAAACAACCCCTTAGTCTCGAGAATTTCATGATTACTAAATTAAATTTTATTAATTCTAAAATTTATATTTTATTTTTTTGTGAAAGTCATTATTTTTTAAAATTGAATCTCACTCCATAACACCCAATCCATCTCAAAATACTCCTTTTAATTTATGAAATAGTCATGCCACTATTTTTATAGAATTTCTCGTATAATTTCGATCTCTGTCTTCCTCTTTTTGATCAGTTTGATTTTGGCACAAATACCAAGATAAGAGGGGAAAGTGAGAAAATGTCTAAAATACCATTTTCTTGCAACACTCTCTATTGACCGTATGGATACATGATTGAGTACCGTGAAACATAAATTATACTCTTCCTCCTACATTCTTCACCAATAGTTGATGAATCTCCTACCTTTTTCTCGTATACATTTATTTGTTGTTTGCATCTTTGCCACTAATAGGTGAGTTAAGAGCTAAACTAATATTTGTGAGGAAGAGAAAAAAGATTATTTAAATTTAATTAAATGGTAAAAGAGACAATTGAACACTTTCTTGTTATCAAAAAGGAAAACGTGGGAAAATAGTAGAAAAAAGAAAAATGAACAAAAAGTGTGGGAGTGGGACTACTCAAAAAAAATGGACAAAAATAGAGGGGAGGACTGAGGAGGGACTACATTTTTAATGTACTCCCTCCGTCCCCCATAGATCTTCCCAATAGCCCTTTTTTTATGTCCACAATAGATCTTTTCATTTCATTTTTTAACAATTAAAATACCACAACTACCCCCACATACTTTATTTATTACACCTCACCCACCTCATTTAATACACTCCACCCATTTTCATTAAGGGTATTATGGTAAACTTTCACCTTTTTTCAACTTTCCTTAAAAACCACCAAAAGTCAAAATGAGAACATCTTAGGTGGACGGAGGGAGTATATCTTTTAAAATTAGTCTGAGTTTTCGAAATTAATATATGTCATTAAAATTTTAAATTTATAGAAACTAGTGAAACTACACTTAGAAAATGTTACGGAGTAGGATCGAATTCGGATAAAACATTACGTCGGGTCGGGTTGCTTTAGCTCAAAGCCGGAAACCGTCCGGCGGTGGAAACAGAGCAAAACTCTTCGCCAGATGGGAACGGCAAAGCTCCGAGCACCCGCAGGCTTTCTACTTCCCATTCCGCAGTCTCCGGTGGTCAGAAAATGCCTGAATTGCAAGCGGCTAACTCCACAAATCACTCGGATCAAGCAAGCGGTGACAATTGATGAAATTCCCCCAAATTCCTTGATGCGCGCCAGAGACCCGTGTTGGAGCAGCACTGGCTTCAGTCTTGGGGTCGACTTGGGATCGAGTCGCACTGGCCTCGCTATTAGCAAAGGCTTCTCCTTCCGGCCATTAATGGTAACTTCTTTGTGTGAATTCCTTCTAATTCATATGTATTGATCCAATAATCGATTATGTTAGGTTTTGGGACTGAAAGGCCAGAAGCTAGAAGATCAACTCATTGATATTGCTCAGAAGCAGGTAATCTTTGCTTATCCACCTCACTATGGAGCGGCTATGGTTTGAACTTTGAATTTTTAATGAGTTCTGAAAATCACTAGTTATCATGTGCTAATCATTTCCAAAAAAGGTGGAACGCCCACCCCGGGCGCCCCCACACCCGGCCCGACAGGATTGTGAGTGCTAATCATTTCCAAAACCTTGTTATGGTAGAAATATAGGGAGTTCAATTTCAAAAATCTAATGTGGAAACGGGAATCACATACCTCATTTTGGCTAGAATACAAACCAAATAGACACAAAGTAGTGATTGTGATTCTAAAATGCAAAATCACCCACGACTTCCAAGTTCCAACCGATTGCTCCCCATGTTTATATAATACTCCATCCATCGCATAAGCAACCCCAACTTGTTCCTTTCGTACCCTCATCGTCTCATAAAGAAAGTGCACTTTTTTTCCCACGAAGGCACGAATTATGATATGATAATCAAGTTACTTGGAAAGACTATGTTTGTACTTCGTATGCAACTCTCATTTTTACTCAGTGTGAAGTTAACTATACCCCATATTGTAGAATTTATTTTTCTCTTTGGATGATTAAGTAGTGGTAAACAAGGATATTAATAATCAAATGCACTACAAATGAAAAAGTTAAACTATCTCTGTGAGGTGGGGAAAAATGGAATAATGGATTATCGTTGTCAATGATAACTCGTTGTGGCACATACAGACCCTAATTTTACATCTCTTTCCATTGGTCCTACTCCTTTTAAACAAATGTGTTTAAATCTACTATGAACTTTATTGCGGAGCAAGGAGATTGTATAGATTGACTGTGTGTGTGTGTTATAATTTAGTTATTGAAGCTTGAATCTTTGGCATTATGGAAAGCAATAGTAGGATGATGCTTTGAAATTTAATGGACAACCTTAACCCCCCTCCCCCCAGAGAATAAATGTTGATTTGTATGGACTGTATTTGTATATTAGGAGGTTGATGAGTTTATAGTTGGGCTTCCCTTATCCAGTGATAGGAAGGAGACTCCACAGTCAAACAAAGTTCGAAGTGTTGTTGGTAGACTAGCACTGCGAGCTGCTGAGAGGTAATAATCAGGATTTAAGATGGGTAGCTTCTTACAATGTCTATATATATATGTGTGTGTGTGTGTGTGTGTGTGTGTGTGTGTGTATATATATATATATTCAAATAGATTCATTGCTCCGGCCCAGAAAACTATTAATCCAGCGTGCGCTACATGGGCCCCTAATAGTTTACCCGATAAATTGATCAATCGGGCATTACCAGCCCACCAAGCGAAACCAGTAGTTTCTTGGTCCCGACCAGCTACGGTTAAAGTTGTATTAAAGAGCGTTTCCACGTGGGAGAACCTCCTCAGGGAATATAAGGTTTTCATGAGGCTGATCTTGAGCGGCCATCCAAGCACGAATACCCTCATTTAACAAAATATTTTTTGTGTAGAAAGTTTCAAATTCAGGATC